AGAGTAATTAGTAAGAGAGAAAACAAACATTTTAATTTCAAAACCTTTTATCTCACTCTTTCATTGACATTGCCAATATCACTCAAGTATATTATTTTTAATGGTAATCTTGATGGAATAACCAAAAACTTCCAACTATCTATTTTCCATACTTTTTTATTGTCCTTTTTACATTTTTGAGTTATGGTAGAAGATTTCAAGCATTTGGTAGTGATTGAGCTTCAGCACAAGAAGTACAGATACTAAACAATATAACTCCTGCAAAAAAAGTACAAATTCACTTGTCAGAATTGAGGCCAACAGAAAACATCCCCAAAGTGGTAGAAAATGTTCCAGGGCAGACTATTCAAAAGAATGCTATATTATTTTTAGCCAGGTTTGAATATTAATTCTAGAAATTTAAAATTAGTCAAAAAAATAATAATTTATATCTAAATGATTTTCCAAATTTATTGAAATATATTTTGACATTAACAAACTACAGAAAACAGAAGTACAGAGATTAATAATACACTTCAAAAGACATTTCAGGAAGTTGACTTGCTGTAATTTCACCAGCTTTGAATTTTTCCCAAATTGCTAGTTTTGCTGTCATTTATTTAAAATACACAAGAAATGTTTGGATTATAAAGGTTTGTTTAAGTTTTTTGTCACTATCCTTCCTTACAAATATGTTTTTATGTTTTTTCACAGATCAATCATTTTATTGTTACATTTGCTGTGACATATCAATGAAGAAATGCATTGTTACACTGCAAAGACTACCTTCTAGTGCATCTGTTAATGAAGAAATAAGTCAAACACCAAATTTTCATACAGCAAATAATAGAAATGAGCAAACTATTGTTTGTGAAAATCATTGTGGAAATTCAAGTGGAAATGATACAAATGGCAGTAATATGGAATCAAACAATGTTTTTCTATGAAGATCTTCCAGCTCAACAAAATAATATGATGGAAGTTTCATTTATAGTTTCTCCAAAATCAGATTGTGAGAAAGAAAGTTATTCATTTAAAATCTTAAAGGGAATGAGCCAGAAAGGAAAAGATTTGCTACTTTTCAACAATTTCTGCTACAATATTAAAGAGAAAAGAAACAAGACAACATTCTGGATATGCAGTGTTAGGAACAAAAGAAATAAATGTTCAGCAACAGTTAGTCAGCATGGGAACAGTTTTTATCCTGGAAAGTTATCCAATTCTCATGAAAGAGTACCTGATCTGGAAAAAAAATTAATGATTAGGAATGAACTAAAAAATGCTTGTAATAAAGATATCAGTAGTTCAGGAAAATGTTTAGCTGAAGATGTTCTGGTGAAACATTGTAGTTCTAGTGAAGTTATTCCATCTCTAGATAATTGTACAAGACTGGCAAACTGGACAAGAAAGAAGTTTTGACCAGCTGAACCTCAAAGTATTCACTTCAACTTGGCTAAAATATTTATTCCTGATGATTTTTTACAATGGATATACAAATGGAGAATGATAGAATACAAATATTTTCAACCACAAAGCAAATTGAATTATTATCTAAAGGCAAAATATGGTTTATGGATGGCACATTTAAATGTGTGAAAGACCCTTTTTATCAACTTTTGTCTATTCATGGATTTATAAAAAAAATGGAGAAATAAAACAAATTCCAATGGCTTTTGCTTTTATGGGATCCAAGGGAAAGACAGCCTACAAGAAATTATTTAAGGTACAATAATTTTGCATTTTAAATTGAATAATCTAATTTGTTAAATTAACAGGCAATACAAGATTTAACAAATGGGCATAGCCCCAAAAAAGTTGTTGTAGACTTTGAAAAAGCTATTTGGAAAGCACTATCATTCACTTATCCTGAAGCAAACATTAAAGGGTGTGTTTTTCACTGGACACAGGCAATATACAGAAAGATTCAAGTAATACTTTAATTTAGCATGTGAGCTCTAGATAGAACTGACATATTTATTTCCAGGAATTAGGATTATGTAAGATGTACAAGGAGAAAAAAGCTGAATATAGAATCATGAAGAAATTAATGGCATTACCATTCCTGCCCTCTGATCTGATAGAACCAACATTTAAGACTATTAAAGAAATAAGTGCTATTGAAATGAAGTCTGTATTAGAGTACATTGAGACACAATGGATAAATGGATTTTATAAACCAGAGGTATGGTCTGTATATGGTGAGGCTATAAGGACAGAACACATTATGGTATTTGTGATGGAAAATTGTGAGTAGATTCTATCCAATTACAAGAGACAGGTTAAATGAGAAGATAAGAAAAATTCTCATCTATATTCTTTTTATTTTACAAAAAATCACAGGCTTAACAAGGGGTTGACAGAAAATGTCCACAAATGAGAAATTTCAAGACAAAAATTTGGATTGAGAAATGGTTAGGAAGAAGAAGAGAGCAACTGATTTGTAATTAGGAGGGTCTCCTCTAAGGGTTAGGGGTAATGGAAAAGGTTAGGTACAGCTAAGGGCTGGGTTAGGGTTAGGGTAAAAGCACCAATTTGTGGACATTTTCTGTCACATCCACTTAACAAGAATCTTTGCTCTAACACTGCATTCTATTTGCTTTTAGATGAACTGAAAAGAGAAGCTGATTTGATAAAGCTATATAAAAAATTACTCAGTGAACAGAAAATTTGTAGACAGCAAAGAAAAGCATATCAGAATATTCAAAGCAAAATATTCAGCTTATGGGAACAATTTGAAATTGCCTCAATTACCTCCCTGGACTTACTTGATAAAGCTTCTGACATTTATTCACCAGTTTAAAATACCTTTATTCTTTAATGTTGTTACACTGTTGTTAATCATTCTTGTTATAATGCTTTTTTTTACTTAATCAATATATTAATATTTAAATATTTGTAATTCTTATTATTCATTTTTTCCTGTCAAATTGCTCTAAAAACTCCATCTATCAAATATCTTATATCTTACTTTGAAGTTCTATAGTGGACATTTTCTCCTGTGGACATTTTCTCCAGTGGATGTTTTCTCCAGTGGACATTTTCTCCTGTATCCTTCATTAACAATAACTTATCTTCAATTGAATAATTGCAATTTGATAGAATTTTCAATAATCTGATAACATAAACTGGAAGAAACTATATAGTCAATTGACCTAGTTTAGAGGAAAATTAGCAGTTAAACAGAATATTTAAGAATATGTCAACTCAACTGTAAAATACTAACTTGCACATTTTATCAATGTCGCACTGTCTTTTGCATTCACTAATGTTAGCACTTATCCTCTCCTGATTGTTCCATTCAGGTTTTAACATATTATATCCACTAAATTTCTCTTTATTTTGCTTGCACTTGCAAGCTCTTTTTTTTCTTGTAGTCTTCCACATTCTCTTTTTATAAGATTTTTTGTTCTTTCACTTACCTTAAGGTCTACCCATTCTTTTAGGTTGTTTTTCCCTTCTCTCCCTACAAATGTATTGCAGAGATGACCTAGGGATATTCAGGTCCACTGAAAGCCTGTCATAGGTCATCTCTGATTTTTTTCATCTTGCCAACTCTCTAATTTGTGGATGATACTTCATCTTAAAAAGTAATTTTAAGGAATTGTCTTCTAAAAGGTAATTGTTCAAAATTTGAATGTTTTATAAGTTTTTTAGACAAAAAACATCCTTATACAGATACTTATGGTGCGTTTTAAATTATATAGGATTATTGTGAAAAAATACTTGTTGTCTAAAATAAAACAAAAAAATGTTCTAGAAAGGTGAAAAAAAGAAATATTTTATGAAATTACATAAATAACCTTTAAACATAATTCTATTTAAGAGAAAATAATTCTATCCTTCAAAATTACAAAAAAACATTTTTTTTATATATATGAAAACTTCTGTCGCTGACTGTATATACTATATATACAGTATATAAAGTAAGGGACTGAAAAATCCAGACACTGTAAATTTTGATAGGTAGAACATTAAATATGTGTTTCTTTATGAAGAAATATTTTTTTAAAAATTTTGTAGCTATTAATTATTAGGTGAAACTTGGATCTACATAGAAATTTCTATCAAATAGTATTTACATAACTTTTTACATAATTTTTTTTGTTTTTATAATGTGTACTTTTTTATGTGTTTTTTTCTTATTTGACTGTGAGACATATTATTCCGGACAATGGTTTGGGGACCAATATTTTTATTCTTTTTGAATTTGACGACCCCCTTTTTTCTTGCACTTACTTATTCTACCTCCGATCCCAGCATTCAGATTTGGTAACAAGTTAGGATTTTTATATATCATACATCATACTTTCATATATACAATACCAGACATTAGTCCTTTTTATGCCTCAAAAAAATAATTTTTTTTAAGTTTTTCTCTTTCTAAACTTACCCTAAACATTAAGTAGTGTCACTTTTAACCAGATTTTAAGTTCATTTATGTGTGTGTAATCTATCAGTTCACAAAGTAAAAATAAAATGGTGAAGCTATCAGAAGCCACAAGAATTTCTCTTTTAAATTGTATCCCTACTACTGTTCTAAACATAAAGAAGTTTAAAGAGCTATAAATGGTAAAAGATAAACCAAAATGCAGTACACAAAAAAAATGAAAGGTGGCCAGGCTTATAATCAGGACCTCCAAATCAAATCCCAAATGGACAGCCCATCAGTTATTATGATGAAATTAATTATGGAAATTTTTTTGGAAAATATCACTCACTTATATTGCCAGATTTTTGCCTTTATTTTCTGTGTTCTGGCTTTGAAAAACAAAATAAGTAGAAACCCATAAGATAGGCAATATCTATCTGTATATTTTAAACTGTATTGTATGATTGGACTCATTTACCCAATACACATTCTTTTGATAGAACTCTACTGTTTATGTAATAGAGTGGTATTACTTTGTTCAGAATGAATTCTAAAGGCTAGTACTTGTTAATGAACTTGACAAAGTAAATCATCAAATAAGTTTGGTCATTTCTTATCAAGAAATTGAAACAAATTTGATATTTGGTGAGATATTTTTATAGAAAAGGAAAAACATAATTGACTTGATTAAGTGAATTATCTTTCAAGTAGTTGTTGTATTATCATTAGTAATCTTTTGTTTAATCCAATTTACATAATGTGAGACCTATTCAAAAAATCAAAGAAAAGAAAATTTAAATATTAAAAAACAAACAATAACTCACTCTGGTAAAAACAGAAACTTTGCCAGTGCATCCTTTCGAACCAAAGCTTGTTATCCCAAAAAGTCTCCAATAATCTCCTTTTCTACAATGTAAAGGCCCTCCTTCATCCTCCTAGCATTCAAATATATATTTAGAATTTTAGATAATATCTGATATTTAAGATTTACACTGCATGGAATTCCTGGATAAAACTCTTTAAAACCTCCAGCACATATCATCTCAGGATATTTTATTAGGTTAAAGTGGTTTTCACACAAAGATTTTGAAAATAAGTATTGAGCTGCTGAATAAAGTTTGGTATTTGTTCCTGATTTATAAATATAGAGAAAAAAAAACACATTTATTCTTTTTTTTTGATATAATAAATCTTTTGGAAAATTACTTATTGTGCGTGTCGAACCGAATCCACTTGTTTTGCAATGAAACCCTTCATTTATTCCATAGTCTCTTTCTGGTAAGCAAATAGGTTGAATTTTTTTATTAAAATTAATTTTTGTGTCAACTCTCAAAAGTACAATATCATTTTCAAAAGTCTTTGGATTATAATGTTCATGTATCCAAATTTTTTTAGCATGAAATATATTTATAAAAGTCCATTGAAGATCATCAGCTCCAAAGGTTAAATAATGTTTAACTCTGTGAAAAGAGGATTTTATCAATTTAAAGGTCAGTTTTTTAATATAAAAAAAACACTATTTGCTCACTTAGTATCTTTAATACAGCTGGCTGCTGATAATACATAGTATGGATGGATAATCACTGCTCCGCAGTAGTAGTTTTTCCCATTGCTTCTAACATACAAAAAAGCCTATTTTGTCAATTATTTTTTGTTTTAATGAACATTAATTGAAAATGATAAAAATTGAACTCAACCTGCCAAGGAATATTTTCAATATTTTCTTCTTGACCATTAACAATTCTACTTTTTACTCTAGGCAATACTTTTGCACAAGATACACCTAGTGGATTTGCACCTTAAAAAAAGTTCATGTCAAAAATCAGAGTCTGCCTGTTTGTTATTTATATTTTTCAAAAAGTTACCATTATCAATGTAAGATTTGGTTGTAGATGAGGGTTTGGTTGATTTCTTCCATGACTTTGTTGTAAATGAAGGTTTGTTTGTTTGCATCCATGACTTTGTTGTTAAGGTTTCTTGTGGAAAATTGTGATTAACATTACCAATTTTATAACTCTTTAATCTTAACTTTTCCCAATTTGAAAATCTATTGATTTTTGATTTTTCAAATTTGTCAATCAAATGACTTTTGCTGATTTTCTCTACAGGTCTCTTTTTTGATTCAAAAACAGCAATATATTCAGCAACAATACTGCCTCTGGAGCATCTTAGACTTCTTATACCAGAAAAAGTGTTTAGTTGAGAATATCCAGGTGTCCACAAACTTTCATTAACAGCATTGTGAATATCTTTCAACAAAAGTTTATAGGAATCTGATGTTTCATCTCGGTATGCTAAACTATACTGTTTTTGCAAAATCATGTTTACTTCAACTGTGGCTAAAATTTGAGAAAGGTAAAATATTACCTTTAAATCAATAATGTACTCAAATCAAAATCAACTTACTCTTGTATATTGCATTTTCATTTTTTCCTAATTACAAGAAAATAAGAAACAATCAGTCAGTCAAATAAAAAATTTGAAATAAAATTTTTACACAAACTCTTACCCTTGTCTTTGATCAAACCAAAGTAAAGACCAACAGTTAAACCTGCAATTGCAGCTGCAATTAAAGTAGCCACTCCAACAAAAACACAAGCTTTTAACTAAAAGAAACACAACACCAAGGTTACTAATACAAGAAACATTTTTTCTTTTATTTTTATTATTTTTCAAACCTACCATTATGTTTAAAATAGTTAAGAAATGTTTTTAACTGCTCCAAGACATAACACTCAACTGCCCTGATTCAGTAGCTACTGCCCCTTTATATAATATTATCTTGGTAAACAATAAGGTATTACAAAAAAAATTTTTTTCATACCACTAAAACTTTTTTACAATCAATAATGTTCTTCCTGCTACTTTCCACCAATTACCCTTCATTGCTAGCAATGATTAAACCAGCAAATATTGATTTTGTATTGAGCTGTTCTAAAGGTTTTGGAGAAATAACAAAATTTAAGGAAGTGAAGTTCTTGTTTCACTGATTGTACTTTGACAAAACTGAATGAATTGTTCAAATTTAAAAATCACTATATAAGATTTGTACACATACATTCGTCAGCTATACCCTACAATAGAGAAGTAGTATTGAACCAGTAATGTACTATGCAGATAGCACTGATAGAGATAAGCAGTATTGACCTAGTTTCGCATAGGGCAGTGCATACATATTGTGCCGCAATAAAACCTATTAAATTATATACAGAATATTGCTATTTATAACCTAGCATTAATATTACAATTTATTAATCTATAAATTTATGGGTTCAGACAGAAAATGTCCACAAAAAAACAAAAAATTTACAAAGTGACAAAAAGCTTTTAGATAACTCTTCATAGTAATAAAAAGATTTTTAATTCACACTTTTGATAAAATAAGCTGAGGTAAGAAGGAATTTTAATAAAAAGTGTTTTTTTAAGGTTAAAATGGAGTATTTGTTCATAAGCAGTCAATGATTTATTTAACATAAATTTATACTACCTTTTTTGCCTAATGTGGTGTATTTAAATTTTTTTTTTTTACTATTGTACAAACCTTTAATTACAAAGCATGATTTGTCATAAAATTGACTGTTTGATTTCTCTTATTGAATAATGTATATACTATAGATAATTGCTAATTTCTGGTATTTTGTTAATATAAATTATTTCCCAAGTTTTCTAGAAAACTATCCCAAGTTTAAAAACATGGACAATACATGTTATATTTGTCAAGATGAATTCATTGAAAACCAAATCAAAGGCAAATATTGTCTTTGCTTTAAAACCTGTCATATTAAGTGTTTTCAAGGTATGAAATATCCAAAGTTTCATTTTGTGAGTTATTAATTTTTTTTCAGATGCAACCAGCACTTAGCCATTATGTTTGATGTGTTATCAAATATTAAACGGAAACTGTATTGTGTTGCTAACAAGAATTGATAATGGGTTAGGGTAAGGGTTGGGTCTTGGGGTTAGGGATTAGCACAGTCAGTACAGACTGGTAATCCCAAAAAGTGCACTCACACTTACAACCAAGATTTGGTTAAGGGTTGGTGTAGCTATTGAGGAGTTGCTATCTAAAGTTGCAATTCCCCAGCCAAAGCTGTCACTGTGTCTCTAACAGTATCCCAATCACAAATTCTCAACAAGGGTGAAGAGAACCTGTGCTGCAGCAACTAACAATGTCATCTGGCTAAAACCCTCACAATATTTCGGGACTAATTGTCCCTTTTTCAAGTGAGTTGAAAGGCTGCAGTATGATTACCACCAGACTGATTATTGACAGGCCTGATGTACTCACTCTACTGCTGTTGCTGGCAAAATCTATACATTTGCAAGTTATAACAATACTGGTTCTACTCGAACCTTTAAACAAATGTTTAAATTAAAACAGTTTATTCACAATAATAATACTTAAGCAAGTAACAATATGAGAGTTCGATAGCAGAGTAGATAGTTTGTAAAAGCAGGTTGCCAAATTACCAAACTGTCTTCTAATGTTCAGGAGTAGATGGATGGTTCCAGTGGAGGTTGTTTCCAGATGATTCTCCCAGGTCCTTGGGTCCAGATGGAAGCTGCATGCCAAATGAGAATAGTGAGGATTTATATACTTTGAGGTTTGCCTCTGACATCCAATTATCACTTTACAGTTGCAGAAATGTGTAGTTCATATTTTTCTTTGGTAAGAGGATGTTACAAGGTTGAACATTTAGGAAGGTTAATTGAATTATAATTTGGCCACACCCTAGGTAAGTTAATTAAATTATAACTTGGCCAAACCTTTATTGGTAATTAAAGATGAGCCTTCAAGCTGACTAATCAGACTTATGTTTGGCCAATGTTATAGCATTTTCTTGCGTAGGTTTTAAGATGTACATATATATGTTGCATAAAAGAATAGAGTTCAAGCATGTAAAATATAACCAAAGTTGTACACCACAGGTCGAATATAAGTGTCCTCCACTTGTGAGTTGACCAAAAAAATTATTGAAATTTTCAAATTGCTCCAATCTCTATGAAATTTGGTACAGAGTTAGTCCCAATACGAACAAATCTATGTACAAAATTTAGGAGCTATGGTGGTTTGAAAAAGACGCAGGTCGCAAGTGGTTGTTACACCTACTCCTGATATTTGGCAGCTGTAGCCTTAAGATTAGGTATTCATCACTGATGTTCTACACCAATTTAGAGGGTAACCTGTTCAAGTAACTGCAGGTATAGCAATCTATTAGTAGCCTCTCATAAAATGTATCAAAGGAAGACCTAGATTCAATTCTATGTTCTTTCCTGTGTACATATATGGCCAATCCTATTTGCATGGGTTAGGGTTTAGGTTTGGTTGGGTTGAGGCCACACACAAAACACTCCCAGATCAGGTCTTGATGATTGTATTTTATAGGAACTGCTAGTAGCAACTTTTCCTTTTTATTGTGGAATGTAACCTTTTGTATCCTTTTTAGGTTAGGGTTCCAGTTGAAGGTTAGGTAACAATTGTTGTTGTTTAGTAGTCTTTTGACCTTAAGTTCTTTCAAGAAGTTAATATTTCTGTAAGTTAAAAATGTTTATTTTATTTAAAAAAAACGTTTACAATGTTTTGGCTGTAAGTAGCCTTCCTCAGGTAAAAATGGGAAAAGTTTACAAGTTTTGGCTTATACACATGACATTAGTAGAGCCCTGTATTGTTGCACAGTGTGGGGACATCTGTTTGGTTGAAGTACAAATGTTAACATATGTTATGTACAATATATATATATATACAAGTATATACTTGTAAGAATCATGTCCAGTCAGAGGTCCCTTTATGTCCATAGCTATTCTTTGCATTGGTAAAGTTGGGTGAGGTGTTTCAACCAACAGATGTTTGTTGCCCGGTGCTCTTAACTGCTCACAAAATTCACAACTCTTTATGTGATCTTTAATTGTTTTCTTTAGCTTGGGGTGCCAGAAAGCTTGCTCCAAAGTGTGAATTGTTATGTCTAAACCATAGTGCTCAAATAGGTGATGTTGATGAATTTGTCCAAGTAAGTTGGTTAGAGTTGATTGTGGGATTACTATTAGTGATTGACAGGCATTTAGATACCATACAAGGTCTTCTTTTACATAAGCTTCCTCTGCTTCTTTTGTCCATTTCAATGTAGTTTTAATAATTCTCTCAAAGGTTTTGTGATTTTTGCAAAATCTTTAACAAATCTTCTATAATAACCACAAAATGCCACAAAACTCAACAGAGTATTTGCAAACATAGGTAATTTGACATCTTTTATTTTCTGAATCTTTTCAGGATCAGTTTCAATACCATTCTGTGTAATTCTATGACCAAGGAATTGAACTGATTCTTGTAAGAATGCACATTTGCTCAGTTTAATTCTAAAGTCTTTTTCCTTGATTCTTTCCATAAGTTTCTGTAGAGCTACAAAGTGTTCTTCCAATGTTTTGATAAAAACTATAATATCATCCATATAATTAATGCAAAAGTTTTCCAATCCATTAATAACAAAATTTGCCATAATATAGCTGAAGTGTGAAGGTGCATTTGCCAAACCAAAAGGTTTGAATTCAAATAAACCAAATGGTGTAATAAAAGCAGTTTTCTCCTTGTCCTCCTCCTTGATGGGGATGTGGTGAAATGCACTTGTTAAATCTAATATAGAAAAATACTTGTGTCCTCCTCCAAGTTTATCAAATAAATTTTCCTGATGTGGGATTGGGTAGCAATTCTTTTTTGATTGCTTGTTAAGTTTTCTGTAATCAACACACATTCTTAATGTTCCTTCTTTCTTTTTAACAAAAACAATGGGTGAAGCCCATTGGCTTTTGCTTGCTCTAATTAGACCATTTTCCAATAATCCATTTAATTGATCCCTGCATTCCTGCTGTTTGTTGGGTGGCAATCTGCATGATCTTTGTTTGAAAGGCTTTATATCTTCCAATAATTCAATTGCCATTGGTGGAACATCTGGTGAACCAATGTCATTTTGATTTGTAGCAATGATGTCTTCATAATTCTTTATCATTTCTTTTAATTCTTCTCTGTTCTTGTCAAGATTATTTTTGGACACATGTAAATAATTGTCAATTTCTAGTGTATTTGAATTACTATTGTGTACATTTTGATTAGACAAATGTTCAAATTCAATACTTTCCAACTGTAATTCTTCTATTTCAGGAGTTACTGGAAGTTTCTTTTGTTCTTTTTCCACTTTGATACTTATTCCATCTTCTAATTCTATGTATTGTGGTTTCATTTCCATTTCTGTAGCTAAGTCTTCAGATGTAATTTCAATTTCTTCTTCAGATGAATTTATGAAAATAACTGAGCCATTGTCAGACTCAGGTGTGTTTCCAGTCTCTTCATCAGATGAGTCTTTAACCATTACTGAATCATTATCAGACTCAACTGTGTTACTGGTCTCTTCTTCAGATGAGTCTATAACAATCATTGAACCATTATCAGGCTCAGTTATGTTATCAAACTCTTCCTCAGATGAATCTATAACAATCAGTGAACCATTATCAGAATCATTTGAATCACTAATTTCATCTTCAGATGAGCTTGTACCATTGATTATATCCAAATCTGAGTCTGGGCTGTGATCTGATTCAATACTTGTTTCTGTATCATAATTTTCAGAAGTACTGGAACTTTCATCTGTGCCATAATTGCTATCTGAATCAAAACCATTGAATCCCTCATAAGCTATGCTTGAACCATGAGTGTTGCTTGTATCATAGCCAGTATCTGGATCAGTAACTTCCATTTCTGAGTCCACTCTATCTGAAACTTCAGATGGAATGTCAGAATCTTTAACATACTGTCCCATCATTCCAACAGTTACTTTTTTTACACTGCCTTGTTTTTCCAAATTTTGTCTGGTGATTTTCATTATATTGCAAAAACTTTCTAACTGGTTGTCCTTTTCTGATAAACAATGGCAGAGAAACTTGTTTTGTTGCAAAATCAATAAGAGCTCCAGCAGTTTCTAGGAAATCACAACCAAGTATTATAGCCATATCTAGTTTTTCCATAATAAAAAATTCTTGTTCCATAATTCTTCCATTAAATTGAATATTCAGTTTTGCTTTTCCTTTTATCTTTAAAGCATTTCCCTCTGCTGAAGTGATGATTGGTAAGGCAGTGGTTTCTTTCTTGATGAATTTAGAATCCATTAACCTGATTTCTTTTTCTGTAATAAATGA